TGTTACTATCCAGGCAAATTTGAGTGTGGATAAAATTTGCCATAAGGTTATTGAGTCAAACTAGTTAGGTTGAGGAGAATTTCTTCATCCGATAATTGTTTTCTTGATTCATTTATACAGCACTTGTAGTTATCAAATTTTTATTCATCATGTGGGCATTGTGATAAATGAATTTAACTTTTGAGCATAAATTAAACTTACACACGTTTGGAACCTTGAAGATTTTAGGGTGTTTTCTTGTTTGATGTCAATGGCATTGAATCAATTTTTGATATTGATGGCTGAGGCTCAAATATTTCATCGATCGACAGGGTATTTTGGAGGGCCAACATTTTCTTTACAACAATGATCATTTAAAAACTGAAAACAAAAAGAAATTTAAATAAACCAATTATTTTAACACTGAATCAAAAACAAGTTTGTAAATATTACTTACCGTTGGTACATTTTTCTTAAATTTAGTTATCCTTAATATGACGACTGCATATTTAATGTGGTATAAATTGCATCACTACCAATATCTGGGAGTTCTTTATTGTTTGTTGCTGAAATCCATCTTCCCATCTTTTGATAACATGCTTAAAATTGGAACGTGTTGAAATATAAATTTATATTCTAGATAAATCAAAATTCAATACACCTTCAAATGCAATATGCAATAGCCATTTTAATTTCTCCAAGTTTGAAGTTTTGACGAGCTGACAACTGATATGACATTTCGATACGAGCGCCATCCCGTTAATTGGAGTGGTACTAAATTACCGTCCTCATGTTTTTCCATTTGAGTTACCAGCCCCTGGGGGGCTATTTTCAAAGTCGAGAGAATAGAGGACTTCTATACAAGGGAAGTGCAACCAACTTGACAAACTAAAATTGACACTAATGACATAAAAAATCGGGTCACATAAAGAGGCTGTTTTTTTGTTCAATTTTTGGTTTTTCTTATATACTCTTATGCCATTTACATACCATGTTGTACCCGTAACGTAAAAAAGACTTTTTATTTTAGGGTATTTTACATATAAAGGTTGAAGACATCTATCAATATCAGCTGTCGATAATGTCAAAACATAAGCGTAGCATTGCAATTTATTTTTTTATTGTTAATAGTCTATTTGTGTTCCACCCGGTTTCCTTAAACATTTTTTTCATTTGGTTTTATATATTTATGTCAAATGCAAAAATGCTGCTGCTACAAATACAAGTTCCATACACTATACAACAATATACAATACTAGTTACATTATGCCCATCTATGGTTACGCCTGTGTTCTACCATCAACATAATTGACAGCTGACACTAACAAATTTTTTCAACCTTTAGATGTAAAATACCCTAAACTTAAAAGCCTTTTTTACCTTACGGGTACAACATGGTATGTAAATGGCATAAACATATATAAGAAAAACGAAAAAGTAAACTAAAAAACAGCCTCTTTATGTGACCCGATTTCTTATGTCATTAGTGTCATTTTTATTTTGTTAAGTTGGTTGCACTTCCCTTGTATAGACGTCCTCTATTCATTTCTCTCGGGAGAAATGTCATACATCAACGTAAAACAGTAATTTTTAGGGTCCTAAGGGCCAGTGTGAACTCACTGATTGTTTCTCACGGTTTATTTAGAGATAATTAATATCCTCCTAAGAATTTTAATCCTCGAGGCCTTTAAAAACAGCGTTTCCACATTGACGTATGACATTTCTGATGAGAATCTTGAGAGAAATGAGTGCTCCCATACTTTGAAAATAGCCCCCCTGGGGGTCGATTCTCGACTCGTAGGAATATTTTCCTATAGGAATTTTTGACATTTTTATATACATCGAAAATTTATGACATTGTCCTACATATAGGAAAGTGTCACAAATTCCTATAGGAAAAGGTTCCTACAAGTTGAGAATTGACCCCCTGATGTCAACTGTAGGATGGATGGGCGTTTTGTTTTTGTTGCTTGTAAATTGGAATTGGAATATACCACTGGAATATACCGATACGTTTAAATAAATATAGTTTTGTTTTAAATTTTAATATTTTAATCATGTTTAAAGGCAAGTTTTTATATGTTTATCAAGGTCACTGACACCAGGATTCTGCGCAATAGATAATTTGGCGGTCCCAATAATCTACTACGCAGAATCCTAGAGTCGGTGACGGGTTTCTGATCGTTATTGGAATAGACCTTCCCCTTTTCTTTAGGGAAAATACAGCCAATATTTACAATACTTACCCTTATATCGGAAAACTTAGGCTTTCCATTTTACATGGTGCCACAAAAACGATCAGTATTTCAAATTGTACTAAATTGTCCTTGATTTGACTTAAAATGTACTTTTGTACTTTGCCGTGAGAAATGTACTAAATTTAGTACAATTGTACTGAAACGGCAGCCCTGGTGCCGATTATCTATTAGCCGCCATTATTTTGGTGCTAATCATTTCGGTGACACCAAAGTTTTTGTTCGTGTTTATTTCTGATTTCTGATATTTAATAATTGGTTTATTACAATGGTTTATTATGTGACATATCAGTGTAAAAGTTATAACGGCAAGAAAGAAGCAGATATTACGTTTCGCAAGTAAATGTTAAACATCAATCGTTTTCACTTTATATATTTTCTTATATTTCTCATTTTATTTGGTGTTATACAACTTGGTATTTACATATTATACATCTCTCAGTGTAGAGTAATAAATTTTACCCATCAAGTTTGTATATTTTATGATTTTCATTGATATTTAAGCAATTAATGATATTAAAATGTGTCGTACAATTCTAAATATTAACTTTTATTAAATCTTAATTTACCTTTGCCTCTAATTTAATTGCAGCAATGTTTATTTGTTGTTTTATTTTAGATTTTCTGTGGATCCAGCAAAAAATCTTTGGATTCAGGCAACGAAAATTGCAAATTGGATGTCTACGCCAAATGATAGATAGTATTCAAAACATTTTGAAAGACATTTTTTTTATGGTAAAAGATGTTTACAAAATGGAGCAGTTCCCACTATATTTCCTGAATTCTCTAAATACATGCAGCCGAAGAAGGTGCATATACTAATAAACATAATTAAACATATATATATTTGTTTAATTACTTTTCATTATTATGTTATGAACTTTTAAGAATTTAGCAACCCTTCTGTGTATAATTCAAAACATTACCGTAATAATTGATTGTTTGTAGTACTTAAAAAGAAGAGCATTATATTTGGAAGCTGAGCCAGGCCCTTCAAATAGAACTTCAAATAAGGAATCTATCCTAGAAAGCTATAGCATAAAACGGCTTAGAAGTCAACTTTTACAACAGGTAGAAAAGAATAAAGAAGAAAACAAGACAAATCAAAGTTCTTAAACAATAACTTAAAAGATATAAAAAAAAGAGTTGTTCGCTAAAACTTCTTGTTATTGTATTATTTATGGGGTCAGTAATAAATTTATCTTTATTTATGTATAATTTTTCTTACTAGATTAATTTAGTAATATCTAGAGGGTACACTACATCTTAAAGACGTCTAGTTCATGTCTTACTTTCGTCCAAACGTCCTGGTACGTAAAACGGACGGTTTTAAGACGCCCTGCTTAGGACATGTTTAAAATGTCTTTGTTGGGATGTTTTTAGGACTTTATAAATATGTAGGTAATGTGGACGTTCAACTCTTTTCGCTATATTTGAATATGGCGCCACGACAGCGTTCCCGGGCGCTGCCTGCAGCGCATGTAAATCGTCATTCGTCATTGTCATTGGCTGATTGGAGTTTCGCGCGCGCGTATCGGGTCGTGTTCTAGAGGACCTTCTTCTTGGGACAGCCATTGTTTAATAATTTTAGAGTCAGTCTGTGGACATTGTCATTACTTTTTCATCGTTGTGTTTTTATATATTGTCTTTTTTTATTATTTATTTGCTATTATTGGAACTGTGGTATACCGGAACTAGTAAACTTTATCAATAAAAACGGTAAGTTTTAATTTATTTGCCTTTTAATTCCATAACCTCGCTTTAATAATGTCTTATTTTTTAGAAAAACACCTTAAAACAATAACTCAACAAAATTATATGCTACGGAGACATTAGTTACAGATGCTTTGGCTAAAATTAATAATATAAAAGAAATTTTTAAATCGACCAAACTGGAATAGTTTCTCATAGCAACAAGTACTTGAAGTCATTTTTTAATTATTTTATCCAACCCTGTAAAATAATATTTACTCTGTGTCAGTTTTAATAGTTTAATATTGTATAATAAACAGTATTAAATATAGTAGACAAGTATTCATTTATTTTTTTTAAATGAATTTCCATCAAGTAAATAGACGACTTAAACACGTCCAAATACGGTTTGTCTTCAAGACGTACAAAATTAGATGTCCTAAAGACGCCTTGTTTTGTAATAAAGTACGTCCTATAGACGGCTCAAAAACATCTTTTGGATATTAGCATAGATCTTCAAAACGTTACGAACGTCGTGAACAAACGTATTTAAGATGTCTTCAAAACGTGTCTGTGCTATCTGGGTAGTGTCATTCTTTATTAAGTTAAAATAAATCTTTATGTAATACATGTAGATCATTGTTTTATTTTACGAAATTAAAAAAACACTCATTTTATTATGTAAACGATTTCATTCAGTTTATTTCAATATATTTTTTCTTGTGTCTTATTTATTGTTAATTACTTGTTCTAAATTTTACGCTTTGAACTTGCTTTATACCTAAAAAGATCAATGAAGTAATAATAACATAAATAATACTTTACACAACCTTTTGGACATTTTAAAAACAAATATTTATTTAAAATAAAACTCGATACTCTGACGTAATAAAAATAAAACAAATATATGTTTGCGTTTAGTTATTGTCACTAAATAAAACGATATGAAATTTACTAGAAGGACATGAAATTTATTAAATTTTGTAAACTAGTGTTATCATTGAGTTGCTGTAAACCGAGGTTAGTTATTACTGAATAAAAACACAATATATTTTAAAATATACTATATTTAATTCTTCATGTGGCAACACTAAATTGCCCAAACTTTTACATAATCAATTTGCAAATGGGAATCATCTGTACTTATATTCCAAGTTGGAAGCCATTGCTCTCTTCCCTTCCAGAAGGCAGTTGAAGCATCAGAAGCGGAATTTGACCATGGTTTGCCACCTGGTGTATTATTTGCATCATCTGGGAAAAAATTAGTTCCACCTACAGCTAAATTGAGAATTATATAAAATTCTTGATCGAACGGAGCCATTTTTGAATCCCGTTTCCACGGGTTATCTAATCCAGTTTCAGATAATTTTCCTATTTCCCAAAATCCTTTCTCGGATGGAGCTACCATTCCAATAACCGAATCATCAACTGAAAATTTGATGTACTCGGAAGTCCATTCTAATTGATAATTATGAAAACCCGAGTTGTAGCCTTCAGCCAAATTTTTTTCGTAGTGAGTATACCAATATCTGTTGTAATTTGGATTTGGGCCCCAATGAAGTGTGCTACCCACTTGTTGAACACCAATATTTACACCAGTTGGATTTACTAAGTGTTTGTTACCTCGACTCTCCATAACATCTATTTCACCGGAAGCTGGCCAACTGGAATATTGGTTCCATCTTGGTAGTAACCAAATAGCTAAAAAAATAACAGAATTCCATTTTCATATTTAAATTAAATATGTATTGTTATCGTAAATATTTTGTAAAAGGATTTAGTAATACTGTACCTGGCCATAACCAGTCTCCTGTGGGAACTTTTGCTCGTACTTCCATCTTTCCATATTTAAAAGCGAAAGAGTTGAGTGAACGTAAACGAGCACTCTTAATTGGATTGATTATGTTTACTGCGTTTCCAGTTCGACTACAACCATACCATTGTGGATTTGTGCATCTACAATTAATTATTATTTATCATTACCCTTAAGGTGGGGGTTTAATTGCATTTAATTTTATTTCCAAAAGAATTTGAAACTATAAAAGATGAACACCTAAGATTTGGTAGACATTTTTTAAATAAATTAGAGCAGTTTCTGACGCTGATATCAATAATGCAACTTTAAAAATAATCAAAGTAAAAGTTTAAACAATTATAAAAAAATAAAATATATTTTTTGTTACGGAGACAAGCAAATAGTCTATTAAATACCAATTACAATTACGTTGAAACCAATTCTCAAATTGATGCAATGACGAAGAAAATTTAGAAATAAAATGCAAGCCGAAATTTCAAATAATATACACGATAATACCATTGTCTACTGTTGAAGCTATTTATTGCATAAATTAGATGACATATCATGTGTATAGGGACCGTGCGTGAAATATAGAGGCAGCACTACTGCCGAACTTAGCCCTCTCTAGTGTTTAATTTTAGAATTAAATGGGGTAAACATTGCAAGTAAATAATGAAGGGTATTTTTTTAAATATTAAATATAGTTAAAAATAGATACCGGCCCGTACCAAACAATCGTGGACATGGTCAAAATGACGTAAAATGTGAAACATTATTAAAATCTGGACATGCATATACATTTTAAGCAAAAAGTAAATGGCTAAGTGACAATAAATTGTAAAGTTGTACCTTAAACAAGTGTATCCAATGTTAAAATATCGGTATTTAGTAACACTGAATTTAAAAGTATTACAATAACATTTAAAAAATGTAAATTAATAAAAAAGATTGATAATAATAATTATAAATCTTTTTAGCTTTATGTTAATCGAAATGTCATTCATCCACTGGCGTTTATGAGATGTTCAATGATACATATATTATAGATTGCTCACCCAACTATAAAAAAATTATGAAAAGCGGGTTGCAATGTGCCTTTCCTAGTGCTCACTAAATAGAGCCGTTCTAGCCCAAATGTGTTTTAAAATAAAATTTCAGCATTTTAATCTTTAGAAAAAGAAAATAATTAAAGTTTTACTTCAAGACATGTCATTATGTATTTGGAAAGTTGAGTTTTCAGGTAGTTAAATAATATTAAGAGATCTAAACAATTTTTATAACAGATGGATATAAATAATTTTAGACTACTATTTCAGAAACAATTCTACATAAAATACATAATTGCAATATGTAATACAATTTTGAAAAGGTAATGTAAACAATTTTGATATGAGGTATAAACAACTTTGGTAAGAGTTGTAATTGGACACTTATCTATTATTCTGAATAATGTTTAATGGTAATGTCACTAAAAAAATTTTCAAAAAATCACTGGATTTTTAATATTTTAAAGTTTGTTACAATCTCTTTTGACAGTAATTGCAATGTATTATTTATGATTTGTTTATTTTAATAATAAATGAGAAATAGTTAATAAATTGTAAAGAGGGCCGTGATATTTTTGTCAAATTGGACATTCTTATTTCATAACATTCTACATTAGTTTTAATCAACAGAATAAACCATTATCTGTAAAATTATATTTATATAAAATGTTCATTTAAATATGTAAAAATCTTAATGACAAGAAAACACTAAAGATTCTAATTTCTAAACCGGTTCTGTAAATGATTTCTTTACAACTAATTGTAAGTGCTCAAAATTGATACAAGCTAGATAAAAAGAAAACTTTGCCCAGTGAAATACGCTTTTCGTCGTCTGATTTACATATGGATAAGCAATCTTTGTAATTATGTATATCATTGGGTGTGAGGCATAATTGTGCTCTGTGGAAATTTATAAAATTTCTTTACTATCGAATGAAATCCAGGTTTCTAAAGTGATGTGTTTGTACATCCACGGATGCAACAAGTTTTTTCGATATTGATATTACGAAAATAATTCGACTTCATTTTATTAATAATTATTAAACAATAAATGCCGTATAAAACATTAATAAATACCCCCCAAAAAGTTCACATTTTTGTCACCAGTTAGCGTTAAAGTCATGACGCACGGTCCCTATACCAAACTCTGATAGCTGCCCTCGTCCGTCACCCTTACATCAACGCTACCTATCCCAATGTTTAGGTAACAAGGTTGATGCAAAGGTGACGTCATAATGTCAGGAGTTCTACAGTACTCCCCCTCAGAGTTTTGTATACAAAACTTGATACAATTACTATACTCTGTTTTTAAACTAAGAGGAGCGATTTGAATTTAAGTTGGCAATTCTGTAGCTTTCTGATTGGTCAGATTACAGTCAGTTTCACACATTACTTTTTAGCATGAACATCAGCTAATAATTGATATTGTTGACAGTTCTGACATTTTATAATTTGATATCTCATCCATTACTTGTTTTTTACTTTATTTCGTAAATAATAGTTTTTCAGTAAGCAATTGTATTGAAAATCTACAATTATGGATCCTTCTACACTGAGTACTATTAAAGGTAGCAATTCCTGAAAAGCCTTACAAGAAAGGGAAGACACCTTATTATTTTACATGCTGATTCTGAAGGTTTTGTAGAAAATGCATTATTGGTTTTTGAAGGTAAAAAGATGGGAGATTACCATGAAGAGATGAATTCCGAAGTATTTTAGAAAAAAATAATTTTATTACTGATTTTTTAAAACTAAAAATTGATGAATTTCTAACCAAAATGATTAAAATGTAACTAAATATTCAAGCAAATTTTATTTATTAGAATAGAATGAAACTATTTACAAAATTGTTATAATATTTAAAACACCATCTACTACTTTAGGGATAATCTTAATTTGGCACAATGAGTTAACATTATTTTCATAAAAAAATATTTTAAAAATACTTAAAATTAATACATAGGTATGTATGAATAGTTCACTTTAAAAATATATATGTTGACATGTAGTGTTATGAAAATGTTGGTTCCAGTTTTCAAAACAAATTCTGACTCATAGGCCTGTAAACTTTTGAATGCCCTTATTTGCCCTCTAGCGCATTAACCATGGGTTAACACTAAATAAGCCATATTATCCACATTATTCATAGAAGAGATACCAGTTACTTTGTGATCCACTTGTCATTCACTGATTTACTTTTACTTTTTATACCTATAACAAATATATCCTTAAAAATGTAAACAGATCTTTATATTTTATACTAACCTGGCTACATCTGGATATTCCATTAACAATTTTCTTAAATATTTAATATCCATTTTAAAAAGATCATAGTTATTCTCAAAAAGTCGATTTCAAAAGCAAGAAAAAAGTATTTCTGACATCAATCAACAACCATATTAACTTTAATTTGACAGTGACATTTCGTTTTAGACACACATTTCAGATCACAATAGTGAAATTTGCGACCGTTGTCTGGGACCATTTAAAAAATTACTTCTATGACATTTATTCGTTTCTTAACCGCTCATTGGCCGTTCACCGACTAAGGCCGATAAAGATAATTATTTCATAAATTTTGAACACGACTATATTTCGAAACTCGCTCTTAGTAACAAATCTAGTTACTTTTCCCTGTGTAAATGCGTCTTTTCAATTCGCTCCTCCTAGTTTAAAAACAGAGTATAATACTCATAACTAAATATAAAAACAAAAAATATTTTACATATTTCTTCAGAAAATCTAACGTGTCGTTCTACCTTCTTGATGTCTTCAGAAAAACCGTAAACAGGCTTAAGGCGATCTATGGAAATATTAGCATTTTTGCTAAAATATGTTTCTGCCCTTGCTATTACGGGATACGGTCCATTATACGGTTGTTGAAAAGATCCAACTATCTTATCGACCCGAACGAATACGTGAGAGCAGTTAGACAGGTCTTTAAAAATAAACTCCGATGGTTTAGAACGGATATTATTGGTCTTGGGTCTTAAAATCGAAAATTGTTTACGCAACTGTGCAACATAGTAACTGGCAGGTATATCGCTGTCATCGTGAGAAGAAAGGAAGTCTGGAGGTAGACGAATTGGTTCTCCATATACAATTTCCGCAATCGTTGCATTCAGCTCTTCTTTATATACTCATAACATGCGCATGGTGATAAATGGTAAAACGTCGACCCAATTTTGAGTTTCGTAGCAACGAATTGAAGCTTTTAAATGTCGATGCCATCTTTCGGTAATACCATTAGCTTGTGGGTGATAAGCGGTTGTTCTAATTAGCTTAACTCCAAAAAGTTTGGATAATGATTTAAAAAGATCACTCTCGAATTGTCGATCTTGATCGGTTGTTATTCGAAGAGGAACGCCAAATCGACAAATCCATGAGGTAAAAAGTGTTTTAGCCACTGTTTCAGCTGATATATTACGAATTGGGCAAGCAACAGGAAGTATAATTGTTAGGCAAAACGTATACCCATGACAAGAGGGCAATGGACCAACTATATCTATATGCAAATGTTCAAATTAAGAACTAGTTTGGAAACTTCCAATTGGAGATTTGACGTGACGGGTAATTTTCGAGCGTTGGCAAGGAATACAAATTTTAGCCTATTTTCTACAATCTTTTGTAATTGCAGGCCAGACATATCTTTGCTTGACTAATTTAGTGGAAGCGCGTATTCCAGGATGGGAATATCCATGAAGAAGATTAAAAAATTTCTTTCATAAAGGTTCAGTGACGTAAGGTCAAATAGAAGAAAGAGAGGTATCTCAATATAAGCGAACGTTCGTACCAGGAATAATAACCTTTTCTAATTTTAAAGAAGTACTATTATTTGACAGAAACTTTTGTAATTCTGTATCGGTATCCTGTGATTTAGCGAGTGCGTGAAAATCTAATAACAGATCTGCAGCATTCACTTTACCAAAATAATTGGACACTAAATCTGCCTTACCACTCACATGTCGAAGATCAGTAGAAAATTGTCCTATAAAATCAAGATACCTAAATTGCCTAGGAGATGCCTTTTCAGATTTCTGATTAGAAGCAAATGTTAGCAGTTTGTCATCTGTAAATATGATAAAATCCCAACATTCGAGGTAGTGGCGAAA